CCCCGTGGAGCAGGGCTGCTCTATACACACACACACACACACACACACACACACACACACACACACAAGCACCAAGCATCGTATGTCGTTTTCTCAGCAAGCATCTAGGGCTCAGTTGGAGATGGCTTCTCCTGTTTCATTCAGAAGTTCTTTGGGAACCTGGAAGAAAATGGCATATACAACTGATTTTGAAAATGAGACATTATTGTGTCTCTTTTTTGGTGTTTGTTTGGAAAAACGTTTAAATTCTTGTACAAAACTAAATTTTGTGGTTTTCACATGGCTGTTAACCTTGACAATGACACAGATATTTTGAAATAAATACTTTGACAATATGTATTTTAATATTTTATGTTTTCACTGAATCTGACTGAATACTGCTCGTAGCTCAATCTCAGCTCCAGGAGGAGAGGGGAAAAACGTTAAGAGAGCAATTGAAAATACATTTGTTGGCAGCCCTCCCTGTCCCTGAATGCACATAAGCTCTGAGTGTATGTGCTATGGAAAGAAAAGCCTTTATGATAAATAATCTATTTGATAATAAGAAGCAGGGGAAAATGTTTGCAGGTGAAGAGTTCAAAATGAACCAGAATAAGTATGGGAGAAGCCTGTTCTGTGTGAAGGACAGCTTTTGCATCCTGGACAGATATGCAACCAGAAGTGCCATAATTGTTTGTTTCTGAATACCATTTTCTCTATATATTCTCAGACGTTCCCTCAATACCAGCTTTCTTTTTTTTATTTTTTATTTTTTGGCTTCTTGTTTAATCATTTCATAGAAAAGTATGAGAGATGTACAAAAATGACTTTCTGCTTAAACTTACACTTAAAGGAGAATTTTAAGAGCGCCATTGCTAGAGTCCCTCCCAGACACAGCGACGTCTTTAAAATCGAAGTCCAACAGCAAAAGCTTAAACCACAGACAACTACTGATACAAACCAAGTAAGCCCTGCGAAAGGACCGCGGCTCACAGATTATGCAAAACCTCTTTACTTACTAAAAAGGCCATAAGACGACGTTTCCTGTAAGGAAACCACACTGAAAACAAAGTTAAACCATAAAATCCTACCCAATACCGTCAACTTAAAAACTCGATCGTCAGAAAATCAGATAGGAGCAAACAGGATGTTGCAAGTCCTGCTCACACGGAATACCAGCTTTCTAAAGGGCCTACTTCTCAGGGTTCTCTGACTGTATCTCATTTGATCTTTTTTCTTCTACACATTGGCAGGTATGGCAATTCCCATTTGATACATGAATAAGCTAAGCTGAGGCTCAGAAAGGTAAACTAACTCCACCTAGAGTCACAACGCTTATTATCCAGGGTCTGAGTTGGTGTAAATGAAAGAAACAGGGATTTCAGAACAAATGTCTAAAATATGTATCAGAAACAACCGCCCAAGTTCCTTCAAGCACCTGGCAGGCTGGGTGATCTAAACTCGAAGCAGAGTTCCGGCTGCTTCTTCTTTTTGTGTTTTGTATCTATCTCACAGGAATACTCAGGTACCGATGGGCTTTTTTCTACCCATTATCCCATTTGTCCCTAAAGCAAGCTGGATGTTTGGCAGGTGCTAGATAGTAAATTATTGCTCTCACCGATGTCTCAGTGGCATAATAACAATAATGAAGCCTCTCCCACAGTGTCAGCCTGCAGACAAGGGAATAATTAGTACATTTATCAGATGGATTTCAGAGAACCTTGAATGCTGCTTGAAGTGCAGGATTCCCTACCAGCCCCTTGCAGTTTAGTGAACTGGGCTTTATAATTTCTTATCTGATTATTTTGGAAGACCATTTCTTTTGCAGTTTTAGTGTTTTCGCCAACTTTTCATCCCTTATTAACAATGCAGCATCGAAGACGCAAGGGGCCAGGGGCCGGTCCAGAAACCGAGAGGAGAGCACAGGAAAAAAGCCCAATTGTGAGAGAGGAAACAGGTCTGTTCAGAGCTGGCAGCGCCCAGGCCTCTTATTGTAATTCTTGCTCCCTGGCCTTTTGGCTCAGATGCGGTGTAGAGTTGCTTTGTGAAAATCTGTTTATGCATGGCCGTTGCCTTCCCCTCCATCCCCGCGTGGGTCCTCAGAGGAAGGCTTCTTAGTGAATTCACTGGGAAATTCCCAGGGTCCAGAGCAGCGCCTGGCACAGGGCGGATGCTCGGACCCCCGGGTGCATGCACGAAAGGTGAGCAGGAGAGGCGACGCCGGGAAGTGCTCGCGGCGAGGCTGCAGGAAGCTGAGCCTGCGGTGGGACGGACGGAGCCTGCCGAGAGGAGCGGAAAGTGCCTGTGTGATGGAGAGAGACAGGGAGAGGGGGACGTCCCAACGGCTGGAGCTGGGATGGAGGCACGAGTGCAGGGAAGGCCCAAGTAGGAACCACAAGGGTTTGCAGAAGACAGGAAAGTGGACGCAGCGAGAGAGTGCGGGGGAGACAAAGACCGGCGGCCGGGGCTGGTCGTGGGAAGAAATGGCAAAGTGGCCGGGAGGCCGGGCCCACTCGGAGGGGCGTGAGCGCCGGGCCTCGCCGGGCGGGGAGGGGCGCGGAGGAGGGGCGCGGGCACCGCAAAGTTACTTGGCCTGCGCCCGCCGCGGTCCGCGTGCTGGGGCCGGGGCGGCGGGCGGAGCGAGGCGGGGCTCGGCGGGCTGAAACCCGAAACCCTCCGTCCCCGAGCGCGGCCGGGAGGGAGGAAGGAAGCGGCGGCGGCCCAGGCGGGGAGGCGGTCCGGCGGGGCCCAGCGCTGCCGCGGCGGCGGCTCCCCGGTGAGCACGGCGCGGGGGGCGCGGGGCGGCGAGCGGGGGGCGCCGGCTCGGGCGGAGGGGGGCGTACCGGGATGGAGCGGGTCTGGGTTCATTGTGCGGGGAAGGGTCTCTGCGCCCCCTTTTCCAGGCCTCCCTGCCCCCACGCTACTTTTCTTCTCCCCGCGCCCTGCCCCCCCACTCCCCGAGGTAGGGGCTCTGCTTCTGGCCGCACCCTGCCTGGCTACGTCGCGAGCCGGAGCTCTTTGTGAGAAGATCTTGGGGGCGCGCCCCTCCCCAGTGGCCGGGGGGTTCTGAGAGGCCCATCCCTTGCTGTTGGGGCTGCCCGCCCCATTTCTCCGCCCCGCCCGTAGCCTCCTTCCACGTCCTTGGTGATGCGGGGTGATGGTGGTAATGGTGGGTGGCATCGATGCCTGCTTGGGACCCTGCGCCCCGAGGCAGCGCTTCTGCAGCCAGGGCGGTCCACGCTCTCCCCAGGGGGAGGGCTTGTGGGAATCCGTGAGGACCACCAGGTGAGCAGCATCCTCCTAGTTGGCGCTCAGGACGCTGTCTCCCAGAACCTTGGTGGGAGGCGCGCCCAGAAGTCGCCCCGCCAGCCCTGGCGCCGCGGGGTGGACGCCTCTGCGCGCAGACCGGCCAGAGGGAGACTCGGTTAATGTTGGGGGGAGTTGGCCAGCCCTGGACGCCCTCTGGGTCAGATCTTCCCGCACCCAACAAGCATCCTTTTAACAAAGGCAGGTGGGATGAGAACGTGGATCAATGGGGTGTACTCGGCGCTTCAGAGAGCTCTCCTTGCCAGCCACCAGCCACCTAGCTTTGCAGTTGGTCCACTTTACACCAGGTCTTTCGGGCTATTTTTGTTCGTTATTGTTCCTTTCACCCGTTTTGCAAAGTGCTCTCCAGAACCGGTCATTTGAGCCTCCTCCCTGTAAAGTAAGGAAGTGGTGTGCTCTTGGAGGGAAAGGACCTTGTTTTTTGATTTGTCCAGTGGGGACAATGATAAATATGCCGGGGCGCCGGCCTCAGCTGTGCGTGGCTCTGGGGAGGACAGGCATGGCAGCTCTGTGCTCCTGGTCCAGCCGGTCAGCCCTAGCCACTTTTCTGACCGGGTTCTGGGCATGAGCTCCGGAGAGCCACTGCTGCAGAGAAGTGGATGGTGAGATGGGTTTCCCTTATGCTCCATTTTGCTTCAGCCACTGAGAGTAGGTGTGGGAGAGACATTTTAAGCCCTCAAGGGCAGAAAGTGTGAGTGTGTGTGTGTGTGTGTGAGAGAGAGAGAGAGAGAGAGAGAGAGAGAACCTTAGGTCACAGAGACATCCTCGCTCCATGCCACTTTCGTCAACGGGGATCCACGCGGCCCATTTCTGTCAGAGTACTCCTTTTTCCCCCATCCTAGTTCATATCCCATTTTATTTTATACATGATGAGGTGCTTAGAGCCACTGTCACATACAGTTTATTTTTTGGGTTTCGTTCGCATAACAGCCCAGTGAGGTGCTAGTAACTCATTTCTTAAGTGCGGAAAGGAGGACTCAGCAGCCAGGATGGCACTCCTGGTGGGTTCTCTCACTGGGGCTCTGCCCAGTGTAACAGCCTCGTTGTCTATGGCAGTGAATGTGAAGACCCCCCATAATGAATTCTGCTGGGCATTTTAAAAATGAAACCCACACAAATAATTCATCTCTCTTTGTTGTGGGCTTGTGCAGTAGGGGTGCGCGGAGAGACAGAGGAGGCCTCTGTCAGAGGACATGGGTTTGCTACTTCTCTGGGGTTCCGTGGAAAACAGAATGGGCTGAGCTGACTCGTGTCAGATCGAGGACGAACTGTTCGGTGATAGAAGCTCCTGTTCAGGCTGGGGCCAGCAAAGGGACGCTTTCGTGCTGAGGAAGGATGGGTGGGAGGGCTGCGTATAGACCACACCCCCTCAGGAGGCAGGTGCCCCAAACTCTCAGTGCATTGTTGTCTAACCGGAGTCTTTGGAGAAGTTATAAATCTGGATTTTATGAGAGGAAGCTCCATGTTTTTCTTTTCTTCCAGTCAGTAACGCACGTTACTTTTAAATATGTGGAGCAACCAAATTATATGTGCAGGCTGGTTATGGCCTGCAGGCTGCCAGTTTATAGCCTCCCCTTTCAACCTCCTGAAGTGCTGCTTACTGTCATTCTGAGCTGCCACTACGCATGACTGGAGGGCAGACAGGGTGTCTTCTCCCCAGTTTGCTTTAAAGATCAAAACATCAACAAAACTGGAGATAGCTATCGGCTGCTAGGCAGTTTGCAAGAAGGATTGACTTTATGACTCAGTACTTCATTCATTCAACGGTAAGTGCTCTTCTATCATTGTAGTCCCACTCCAGGAGAGGGTGCTGACAACTGGCTTTCAATCGGTTTCCTTGGCCATTTTGTGTGCCCAGCAGGGGCGAGGGTGGCACTCATGGCAAATGCTTTCAGGGAGCACTGGGAGGCTCAAAGCAAGGAGTTTCCGGTGCTGTAGTGATTTATGCATTGGGTTGCTAACCACAAGGTCAGCGGTTTGAAACCATCAGCCACTCCTCTGGAGAAAGATGAGGCTTTCTACTGCAGTAAAGACTTGTAGTCTCCGAAACCCACATAGGCAGTTCAACCCTGCTCTATAGGGTCACTGTACGTCAGACTCAACTTGATGGCTGAGTTTGTTTTTGGTTTTTTTTTTTGGTTTAGGGATAAAACTAGAATGTCTTCAGTGAGGAGGTACTTCTGAGCCAAAATAAATTTGTAAATATTTTAACTTCTATGTCTTTTAGCTGAACTTCATTGGCTGTGTCTTTGTGAATTAAAAAAATTTTTTTTCATGTTGTGCCCTTTTTTTAAACAATCATTTTATTGGGGGCTCTTATAGCTCTTTTTTTTGTTTTATTTATTTTTAAAAATCATTTTACCGGGGGCTCGTACAACTCATCACAATCCATACATCTATCCATTGTGTCAAGCACTTTGGTGGGGTTACAGGTACTGTCACTTTACTCTGTGGCTTTAAGGTTTCTATCTTCCTTGGAAGCCTTTGCCTAGCTTAAGGTGATCTAAGTATTACCTACTTTTCCTTTCTTTTCTACTCCTTCTTTGCTTTAGTTTTCCTTTAAAAAGATGCCTTCGTTGACTTTCTTCTCCTTACTCCCCCCTGCCCCCAGTTTCCCTCCTGTCGGTGACATTGGAGACCTTAGAGGGTTTGAATTAGTCTGTGAGCCTCTTTAGTAAACTTAGCATCTGTGTTTGCCTTTTCACCTAGTCTTAAGGGATGGGTTTTTCCCTAGGTGTGTGGGGAGGGAGGAAGGGCCTTTGGGCAATGGGAACCAGGTGTAAAGTCACGGAGCTGGAGTACGGCAGAGCATTTTTGCAGAATTATGAGAGATATAAGGAGCCCTGATGGCATAGTGGGGTATACATAGGGCTGCTAACTGAAATGTCAGCCGTCCGAAGAAAGATGAGGCTGTGTTTCTGTAAAGATTTACAGCCTCGGAAACCTGAAGTGGCAGTCCTAGCCCCTGCCCTATAGGGTGACTATGAATCAGAATCAACTCTTTGGCAGTGGGCTAAATGTTGGGCTCCTAACTGAAAGGTGGCAGTTCAAACTCACCAGCTGCTTCATGGCAGGAAGATGAGACTGCTACTGTAAAGATTGGAAACCCTCTACAGAGTCATGAGGAGTTGGAATGGACTCGTTGGCAGTAGGTTTGTTTTTTGAGGGTTACGAGTTATTACCTGAAGTGGAACTATATTTGAGGGAAAAAAGGGGAATGACCAGACAGGCCCTCATATGAACTGCAAATAAGTAAATTCTGCGGTAGCCAGACATTGCATCGCACATTGCACCGCATGATCAGACTTACGTTTGGGGATGATCAATCTGGAGGATCTGCTCTCGGGGTGAGATCAAAGATATGCAGGTGAAATAGAAATATCCAGATGGATGATGGTGAGGACTCTGAGCTGGGGTTGTGATGGGGAAGACAAAGGGGTGGGGGATACCTGGCTCCCAGGCCGTGTAAGGCTAACCCCACACACCTCACCAAAGAGAAGTAGTTCCGGGTGTCACTCGGGTTGGTTGATTAAATGCTTGACCAGTGTGGCTGGAGAATGATGGTATAAATAGCCAAATGGCCCTTGGCAGAAACAAGATTCCCACCCTGGTTTAGAATGTCTAGCCGTGCTGAGTGGTCAGTGCAAGGGGATGGAACAGACTGACCTTCATTCATTGCTTTTGAGCCATCCTCTCACGCAATTGGAACAACCACCTTGCAAACTAAGTATGGGAAGTTGTACTTAATCAATTAACTCAAGGCCACACAGTCAGAAAGTGCCTGTCTGGGTCTTAGCCCTGTCAGGATTACCTGGCAGGAGCGGTGTCAGATGTCCCAGGTTTCCATGCTGAGTGATGGGGCGGATGGTAGTGTTTTATTGAACACAGGGAGAGCATATTGGGAGGGATGACAGGAGTGAGATGATCAGTTCCATTTTGGGGTGACTCTGAAGTGCCTGCATGTGGCATCTGGGTGGGAGGTGGGGGACGTGAAGGGGGAGCATTAGTAGGTGGTTGGATATGAGCCTGGAGCGCTGAAGAACCATCTAAGCTGCAGATGGAGATCCCAAAGTAAAAACCGAGGGACAGTGGTATTAGCAAGGGAGAAGAGAGGGAGCGATGACGTATCCAGTAAGACTCTTTCTTATACAAGGGGTAGAAAATCCTGTTCCAGTTGGCTAAGACAAAAGGGAGCCCTGGTGGGATAGTAGTTACACTTTGGGCTGCTTTAACTGCAAAGTCAGTAGTTCAAAACCACCAGCTGCTCCCAGGGACAAAGAGGAGGCTTTCTACTCCTGTAAAGAGTTACAGCCTCAGAAACTCACAGGGTCAGTTCTGTCCTGTCCTGTAGGCGCTATGAGTTGGTGTCCACTTGAGGACAGTGCGTTTGCTTTTTGGTTAGGCACAAGAGAAAGTGCTTGCCTTCCGGCTCTTAAACAGCTCCACGTGTGTCTGATTTCAGGTGTGGCTAGATTCAGGGTTTAACTGATTTCATCAGGACTCGCTTTTTGATCACCTCCTCTTCCTTCATGTGGGGCTCCTGGCATCTCCAGGTACTACCCCCGTGATGGCAAATGGAAGCAGGTTCTTATGACCATAGGGAGATGAGAGCCGTTTTTCTAGCTCTCCCAGCATTAAGTTCTGTTACATTTCCTAAGCTCTGGTCGGGCTCTGGGGAGTTGGAATGCTCTGATTAATGAGCCATAGGTCATTGCCCAAGGACTGAGCGTAGAAAATGGTGGATCCTTAAAGGAAATCTTAGAGGCAACTACCAAGGAAGAGGAAGGGACTTGGAAGACGCAAATGGTTCATTTCCTCTGTAAATGAGAAAGGAGGAAGAGGCGCTCCAAAGTGCCAGGTGAGAAACGGGCAGGCTGATTAGCTAGTAAACACAGCGGGTGATGAACTAAAAGGGAGCGAGGCTAGACAATGCAGGGCCAGGTGAGCTAAGAAGAGAACAATCTCAGGGGAAAAGAGAAAAGAGCCAGAGACTACAGGAAGGGCTGGCCCACTGGATTTAGCAAGTAGAGGGCAATTGCTAAACCTTGTTTTTGGCCTCCTCCCAAGCAAAGACATTCATTGATTTTGACGAGGCTTCTATAGCCTTGGATGGACCATCGTACCTTTGTCTATATTCCTGATCCCAGCCCAGGATTAGCCAGCTAAAACTGAGCTGTAGGGACCGCAGCAGGCGATAGATGTGAGCTTTGTCAGAATCAGGTATGTGACAACAGGCCCTTTATGTCTCTTAGCTTCAGTTTTAGCTCCTGTAAAATGATCTAACTCGAATGTGTTACTTCTAAGTCCGTATTTAGCGCTGTGCCGATGGAGCTGTAAGGTGATGAATGAATCTGATCACTTCTTGCCTTCTCTGTTAGCAGCCCTGGTCCAAGTCTCCACTGATCGTGGACTGTAGCAGCAGCTCCCTACTGGTCTCCTTGCTTCCACACTTACCCCCTACCCTATTCTCACCTCACAGCAGCATGACCCTTGAAAAGCATAAGCCAGTGACATCACTCCAGTGGCATCACACATAGAATCAAGTCAAACTCCTTACACTGCCCACAGCGCCCCATGCCACCTAGTCCCTGCCTCGCGCCACAGACTACCATGCTCCTCTCTGCTCTCCTCTCCAGCTTTCCTGCACTTCCTTAAGAGACCAGGCTCATTCCGACCTCCGGCCTTTGCACGGCCTCTTCCCTCAGCCTGGGGTGCTACGCTCCCAGGTCTGTGCCTGCCTTATTCTCTTGTCACTTTGTCTGGTCCCTGATTGAATGTCATGTCCTCAGAGGACCTTCCCTATTTATCGTTCCCCCACCCCACCCCCAGCCTCCCCACCCATTCTCTCTTACTTTGTAAATTTTCTTCAGCGCACAATTGTCTGGGATTATTTTGTGTTTATTGTTTGCTTCAGGACCCTCTCTTCTCTCACTGCCCTGCGTGTTCAGTCTGTGCCTCAGTCATGAACGGAGAAGGGCTCGGCCCAGAGCAGCTCCTCGGTAACGTTTGTCGATGAACCCAGGGGTGGACTGAGGAAGGAGTAGGGCACAGCCAACTGGAGGGCAACAATATAGGAGTGCCAGGAGCCAGCGGTGATGCGGCTGGCTGGAGAGGGGAGGGCACATGTCCCGGTCCCCTGTGGTATATAGGATGACATCGTTCTCACAGATGGCAGAGAAAAATGGATTCAGACGGAATCCTTCCTTTAAGCAGTTTTAAAATAATATTTGCAGTTTTAGCAGTATGAGCTTAATTAGTTTGCTGAGTTCTATGATGCTAATGAGGAAAAAATAATTGAGGATAAAAACCAATTAGCACAGTAACCCTTGTTTATCTGGGCTGGGAAGCGGCTCAGTGTTGCCCCAGCACGGTTCTCTCTCTTCTCTTCGTGCACCGTATATGCGGCTGAGTGTGCCTGTGGGTTTAGGGGGGGTTGTACTTTGCTAAAGGGGTTTAAGGAGTATATAAATTAAAAGAAAGAATGAGAACAACTTTAGCACTACTGGAGTTTTGGGCCCGATAATTCCTTGTGGGAGATTTTCTGGTGCTGAAGTAGGGTGTTTGTCAGCATCCCTGGCCTCCAACTACTTCTCTTTGTGATTGCTTGAAAGGAAATCTCTGAGTTATCAGTAGCCTGCCACCACTTGTAATGAAAAAATGTCTTCGGATGTTTCCAGATGTGCCCCGGCGGGGACCGGGGCGGGTGCAAAGGTATTCTCGTATAGAACCACAGAGGTTGAATGTGAGGTAGAGATTGGGTTGGATTGTTGGGTAGCATCTTCAGCGTGGCCATTTTCAGACCCCGCTCAGCCATCTTGATTCCCTTCACTGGAGCCACGTAGCTTGTCAGCTGAAAAGGTGAGCTGTGCACTTTAAGGGTAGGCTTTGTGAGCCATAGGCCGCATGGAACGTTAGCCCCCACGTTTGCAGATGCAGACAAATGAAAACTGCACATTTCTCAGCCCAGCTGGTCAGCTGGTGGCTGTGATCAGTATCGGCTGGAGCACCTGCATGGTTTCAGCTCTGGGGGAGCGGTTTTCTGTGGTTACAGGGCAGTTAGACCTCAGATTCTGAGGCGGGAGCCCTTCATGAAATCAGAGAAACGTGTAGTTTGCTGTCTCTTGCAATGTATCCTTTCTCTTCCTGTTTCCAGCCAGTCAGAATGAAACTGCTTCTTCTTTCATTAACATTTCAGTTTTCTTTTCCGGTCTTAATTAATTTTTGGAAACAGTGTTGAGGATCAGACAGTGAGTGTGTTAGCAGATGCACACCGGCTTCCTCATAGATTACTTTCCACAAGCATATGAAACACCCAACCCACTGCCATTGAGTTGATGCTGACTCATAGTGACCCTATACAACAGGGTAGAACTAACCCCGTTGGGGTTTCCAAGGCTGTAAATCGTTTATGGGAGCAGATAACCTCATCTTTATCTTTCAGAGTGGCTGGTGGTTTTGAACTGCCGACTGGGTGGTTTGCAGCCCAACCCATAACCCATTACACCACCAGGGCTCTTTCAACAATCATATGAACTAGGTTAATTCTTACCTTCCACTTCCTGATGAGGAAATTGAGGCCCATAAACATTAAGGGACCTGCACAAGGTCACAATTCAGACCTCGCTCTGGCCAAGAAGCCAAAGCCTAGGCTCTTTTTATTGAATACCAGGCCTAAGTGGACATTAATGAGTGGAAAGAATATATAATATATGTCCTCTTCTGTGCGCCAAGTGCTATTAGGGATGCTGCAGGGAAACGAAGGAGGACTGAATTTATCTAGAGGGGATAACGTCCAAACCCAAAGAAAAGCTTCACTAGAGAAAACAGGCGTGTCTGAAAGGATAGTACAATGTAGAAGGAAATTTAAGTAGTAAGAATGGTCAGGGCTGTTTTGTGGGTGGGAATATTCTGGAAGGCTTCCTCCAAGTTCTCGCTCAGCGGTAGACCTTGAGCTGGATGTTTTTCAGAGAGAGGCAACAGGAGAAGATGCCTGGGTTGGGAGCGGGACTGACAGACGTGGTGGTCTCTGAGTCTCCCCAGGCTGACTAATCCCGGGCTGCCTTTCTTGCATAAACTCGGTCAAAGAAAATGCTTCGTTTCAAAAAGCTGGTGTGCAGCAGTAGCTACGTAAAAACAATCTTGCGTTTTGTTGACCACAGTAGCATGTACAGACATTGGAAACCTAATGGTTCACATATGTGCACACCATTATTTATTGGGTCTACAGACAGGGCTTGGAGCTATTGGGCGTGGGACGGCCTCTTGCAGTAACTGGTACCCACACTTTGAGGATGCCTAGCTTAGAGGATGTGTGATAGGATGGTTTATAAAGCAGGCAAAATCACCACGAAATAGTAACTCTGCATTAAAACAAAACTCACTGCCATTGAATCACTTCTGATTCAGAGTGACTCAATAGTAGAACTGTCTCCCTGTGGACTTCAGAGCCTATGAATCTTTACAGGAGTGGAAAGCCTCCTCTCTCTCCCACGAAGCAGCTGGTGGGTTAGACCAGTGACCTTGCAGTTGGCAGCCCATCTCATAACTCACACCGCCACCGGGGCTCCATCCACTCTGCCTGAGAGATGGTTATGCTGGTCATTCATAGATAGAGCAGAGGGACATGTGCCAGGTGTCTGTGTCTCATTGTCCCCCATACATAGATCTGTGTATCACATATTTATTGGGCACCTCTGGTGTGCCAGACATTGTTTAAAATGTTGACCCAAACAAGCTATAGACCCAAAAGTTCTTTGCCCTCTTAGAGCAGGCACCCTTATAGGCCATTGACAAGGTAAGTCCATGCATGTGTGTGTGTGAATTGTTTATTGTTAGTTTCTCTCAGGACATCCGACCCATGGTGACTTTTTGTATAACAGAAGATAAGCGAGCAAATCAGACAGTGTTTTGTGATGATCTAAAGGTTTAACTACAGGCTACTATAGGTTATACCTCAACATAGGGAAAATAAAGATACAACCCGACCGATAAGCAACACCATGGTAAACGGAGAAAGAATTGAAGCTGTCAGGGGCTTCATTTCACTGGATCCATAATCAGTGCCTATGGGAGCAACAGTAAGGAGGCCCAGCAAAGGTCTACGTTCGGCAAATCTGCTGCAATAGATCGCTTTAGAGCAGTGGTTCTCAACCTGTGGGTCGTGACTCCTTTGGGGGTCGAATGACCCTTTCACAGGAGTCACCCGATTCATCACAGTAGCAAAATCACAGTTATGAAGTAGCAACGAAAATAATTTTATGGTTAGGGGTCATCCCAATATGAGGAGCTGTAGTAAAGGATCGTGGCATTAGGAAGGTTGAGAACTATTGCTTTATAGTGTTAAACAGCAAAGTTGTTTCATTGAAGACTACGGTATGTAAAAACTGGGCAATGTATATAAGGAAGGCTGGGAAAGTTTGATGCATTTGGATTCTGGTGTTGGCAAAGATTATTAGAGATATCTCAGACTGTTGGGAGAATGAAGAAAAGCAACCTGCGTTTGAAGCAGTACAGCCAGAATACTCCCTAGAAGCAAAGATGACGAGACTTTGTCTCACAACCTTCGAACATGTTACCAGGGAGACCAGTCTCCGGAGGAGGACATGTTTGGTGAAGTAGAGGGTCAGCAAAAAAAGAGGAATGATAACAATGAGCTATCATGGTTCCGTGACTACCGCACTGGGCTCAAACAAGGAGCAGTGGTGAGGGTGGCATAGGACTGGAGGGTCGCTGTAAGTTGGCACCCACTTGATGGCGTCTGTCAACAACAACTGTTATTTTTGAAAATCACTAAGGCTTTTTTCCTAGTCTGTCTTATTACGGACACTTCGTTGAAACCTGTCTTACAGTGGGTGACTGCTGCTATTTGAAATAATGGTGGCATAGCTTCCAGCAGCGTCATAACACACAAGCCACCGCAGCCCTGCAGACTGAGGGATGGCGAGTGTGTGTGCGTATGGCTGTTGAATGTGTAGCCACACCTGCATGTGCACAGTCAGGAAAAAAAGCAGCGAGCGGAAGGGGGCCAGGAGGTAATAGAAACCAAACCCAAGTCCCGGCCCGAGTCAGTGCTGACTCATATCGATCCCTTGTCGCTTCCGGAGACTGTACCCGTTTACCGGAGTAGACAGCCCAGTCTTTCTCCCACGGAGCTGCTGCTGGTTTTGAAATGCCAACCCTGTGAATCACAACCCAGTGCTTAACCACTCCACCATGGGCGCCTATGAAGTAGTGGAAGGGAATATGAAACGTTAGTTTGCATGTGTGCATGGACTAGTCTACAGCCTTTGTGGATGAGATGGCTCACAAGACTTAAAAGAGGTTCAGGGCCTCAAGCAAGTCCAGAAGCAGCCAGGAAAGGTATCTGGGGTCAGAGCAGTAAGGCACAGGGAACTCTCGGAAAGCCCTTGAGGCAAATGCATGCCTGGTGCGCTTGTAAAACGCTGAGGTGGCCAAGGTCTACTTGGAATGGAAGGAATACCAAGTAACGCACGTGATGAGGTTGGGGCGGTCAGCAAGAGCCAGGCCATGTTGGCAGATGCAGGAGGAGCGCAGGAATGTCCTCTGAGAGATAACGGAATCCCTTTGAGGGCCTGAGCAGAGGTGTGACGTGCCCTGACCCTTTGAAGAAACAAAAGCAAAGCAAATCAGAGGCATCTCACTCTGGCAGCCGTGTTGAGAAGGTTGGCAAGGGCAGACACAGGCAGAGTAATGAGGAAGCCATCTCAGTAATCCGGAGAAGACATTGTAGCCTGAACCAGAGTGGTTCTAACAGATAGTGAGACGTAGTTGAATTCTCCGAGGTGGACTGACCCAGGGGCTGCAGCAGTCGGCTCAAGCAGGGGAACACTGATGAGCATGGTATGGGGCCAGGCGGTGTTTCACTCTGTTGTCATTGTGGGGTGGCACCTATCAACAACAGCAGTTGGATTCTAGGTGTATTTCAGAAGGAGATCCAACAGAATCGCTGCGAAGGGAGAGAACATTGGGAGCCAGGGGTGACTCCAATGTTTGGCTTCTGAACAATTGGAGGGATGGAGGCACCATATAGCAGGAGATGTGGAAGAGCTATCTTGGGCTGGCGAGACAGGAGATTCTAAGTCTTGGATGGGATGTGCTAGACTGGTGATGCGGGTGACCCTGGGGTGGGGGGGGTGTTCATTAGCCAGTTGGTTCCATGAGTCCAGAGCCCTCAGGGGTAGCACTTGCTCCATGCCTTCTGAGTAGGGTCCCCCAACAGTCCGTTGGTCCAGTTACTGGTTGCATTGCTACCTGGCAGCAGTGTCAAGTAGGTATGGAGCGGCCGGGGACAGTTCTGACCTGGTCTGACCCAGCTTTGGTGTTGGGATTTGCTAGATTCCTGATCCGGGCAGGATGGTCCGTGGAGCCTTCCCCAAGCTTGCCTTTAAAAGCTGGCCTTTTGCCCCCTCCCATCTAGGGGAATGGCGGAGTATGGGCTGGGGCGCCCTATGGTGCAGGCTTGCTCTGAGGCCTTTCTCAATAACCATGGAAATGCCTCTGCCTATATTTTCTTCCCAGTCCGAACACACTTTCTAAGACTGTCTCTGAGTGAATTGTCTTCGTCTCCAGTTCAGCCGGGCGTGCGTGGGTTTTCTGGGAGACTGAGATGGACCCTCCCTGTCTGTATTGACTTGGGAGCCTAAGGGGGGTGCTGTCTAGTGGAGGCCTGCAAGAGAGGCCTTTTAAAACTCTTTAAAACGTTTCTGCTACAGCCCGGAGTCCAACTCTGCTTGTTACTGAGCGTTCCTAACATCCTCGAACGTGCCACGAAAAGAAAGAAATGCCACACAGAGGTGTTTGATGAGCCAGAAGTCGAGTGATGTTTCCACGCAGGATCTGGGGAGCCCCATCTGCTACTGTGAGTGAGCACAGCAAATGGTGTATGCTGCGGGCTCAGCCTCAGAGTCACTGCCCCACTAGTCCCTGGGGGGGTGGGGGTGGGGATCTTTCCTGCCAGACATGCCCTGCTTTTCTCATCTACAGGAGATTGGGCCGGGCGTTTTCCAAGGTTCCTTTTGTCTCGGCCGGCCTGTGGGCACGAGGCCGTGAAGATGGCTGGCGTTCTTTTTTTTATCATTTTATTAGGGCTCATACAACTCTTATCACAATCCATACACACATCAATTGCATCCAGTACATTCGTACATACGTTGCCATCATCATTCTCAAAACACCTGCTTTCTACTTGAACCCTTGGTATCAGCTCCTCGTTTTTTCCCCTCCCTCCCTGCTGCCCCCTCCCACTTGAACCCTTGATAATTTATAAATGGGTATTTT